TGGTTTTAAACTGACAGAAGGTCTAAGGAGCTTGGAAAGAAAAGCGTCTTCTTTAAGTTGCTTGAAGACATTTCACCTCTCATCCGAGAAGCTTCTAGGGTCAAATGGTGGAGAGTCCCACATTTAAACCCTGTGGGGGTGTCTCCCCCCAAGAGGGACATGGACCCCCCTAATGATCATCTACCTAATCACATGAGCCAAGGTGTGAACACGGGTGTGGGTCACAGTCAGCCAGGATTTCGGGTGAGCTCATTGTGAAACCTGGCTCCACCCTATCATGTGATTTCCTGAGGTCAGATGGCCCAGGATGTGAGTGGGTGTTAAGGCGTCTGGGAAGGGATCTCAAAACTGGATTATAGATGGCAGACAGTTGGTGTCGTAAGCCCCGCCTCTGTTCAAAGATGGCCACTCACAGTGGACATAAATGGCCTCTTTTATTCCTCTTTCAAACCATCTATCCTCTCTGTCCAAAATGTGAACATTGGCATCCTCGAAAGAGTGACCTTTGACCTTTAGATACAGATGGACTGCTGAGTCTTGTCCCTCGGAGGTGAGAATTAAACTTGGAAAAATTTGGTGAATTTTAACTATATAAAATTGATTCAGTCCTTGTGAGTACAGCCATAAGGCAGAAATATGTCGACATACATTAATTACTATTTTCTGTTCCTTTTTTTCTATGCACGGATAATATTTACACTAAAAGATTAAAAAAATCGAAAATATCCACAGAATATGTGACATATTACAACTACACATGTTTCTTTTCCAACTATTTATTTATGAGTGAAGTATGTATGTGTATATATGTATATATTGTACTATTCTTAGTTAGTGTATTGTCTGTCTTGTCTTAATGTTGGTTTAAAATGGAGCACTGTAACAAAAAATAATTTCCCCCAGGGATTAATAAAGTATTCTGATTCTGATTCTGATTCTGATATTAGGTCCACATGAAAAAATATTTACAGCCCCGTCTTTTTAGAAGTATTATGCAATTATTGAATAATTATTATCTACATATCCATGCTTGAAAAATATTAAACACATGTCAGTGTGCTACATACTGAACCTACATGACAGAAACAGAGTATCGATACTATTGATGTTTGGATAGACCCGCCCACCTCTACTCATTTAATCAAGTAACATTGTTATGTTGTTTGGATTTCATTCACGGCGATTGTTTTTAAAAGGCCAGCTTTGAGACAAATCTCATCCATAATCTCTCTGAGTCAGAGTATAAACCCGGTACAGCCAGAGCTAAAACTGCCCCTGCTGCTGCAGAGCCCCTCCGGGCCTGTAGGGGGCATTTTCAGAAGACTAGCCTGTCGACATGTAGCTGAGGAAGAAAGGCAGCATGTAGTAGTGTAGCAGGACCTTCAGTGTTTTTACGAACTTAGTAAAAAATGTCGCTCTTCTTTCATTTAGTTATATAATTTACACAGGACAGTCAGACACTCGTTATCGGTCTCAAGGTGAGTCTTTCTTGCTGCATACGTCATATCGCGTGCAAACTGAAGAAGGTCATTTTCACATTAGCTCCCAAGCTAACCTGCTAGCATCCATGTATCTGTCAGGGACATCAGCACTGTGAAACAGCTATCAGTCCTCTGTATTTGTGTAATAACCCGTGGCTGTTCCGGCTGGATAAACCCTACAACCTGTATATAATTACTGAGGTTAAACAACTTGTTCTCGGATATGAAACAACCTGCTACCCAAAAAGCATCTGTGCTGATGGTTCACCCCCTTCACTCAGGTTTAATAAGCAGCATAGCATGGAGGAAGCGCATTATAAGTGCGTGTAAATGTGCTGAAGTGTTACCACAGAAAATATCAAAGAGTAAAAACTACAGTGTTGCGTGAACATATTTTCTTTTCTGTGAAAAGTATCATATAATTGAAAAAACTGGGAAATGTATTAAAAATATCTCCATCTAAACACAGATTTTTCCTACAGTGGCCAGTAAAGAAGAACGAGTACTCTGTGATGAGGATGTTTCTTCAGTGCTCGTTTTGTTTAACCAGCAGTCAAAAACTCCAAACTTAGCTGTCATATAAGCCGTGAAAAGGGAAAAAAAATCTGTGTGCTAAATAGCGAGGTGAGGTAACTTATCCAGTTTCAACTGATTGTGCTATCATTTCTCTTTGAATAGCAGCACATCTGTATGCACCATGGAGCCTGTAATGCTTCAGGTTTGGCAGAGAGCCTTTCGCCGCCTGCACAGGACCCTGATCCTTCCGAAGAGGTTAGACTCAGGCTGTGCTGAGCAGGCAGCCGTCCCTGCTTCTGCGCCCTCCTATGGTAGCAAGCCCGTACTCCTGGTGTCTCGTCTCTACCAGCCTTCGAACTTACGTGATGTGGCGCTGGACAGCCGGCTGCCAGGGGAGATGAGCTGCAAGAGCCAGAGGCTCATGCAGCAGGCTGGGCTTATTCATCCATCCAGCCCAGGGTGCTACTATTACCTTCCTGCCACCGTCCGCTCCATGGAGAAGCTGGTGAGATGAGGCCTTATCTTCTTATAGGAGTGATAATAATAATAAAGTAATATTCATGGTA